TAAGAGTGAGATAATGACTCAAAAAGGAAAATAAAAAGCAGATATATTAAATCATTTCCATGATTGCCATACTCTGGCTTTTCTTTCCAAAATAAGTGAAATTTCAGTCCATTCTGTGCCTTATGACTTTGTCATGAATTTTAAACTCAGTCTCTTCCAGGAACACTGAGAATAACAAGCAAATGTGGATTTCATAAGCTACCTCTTTTGCATACCTTTCCTCTTACACTTTTCGAGTAATGTTAAAGGAATTAATTATGGGTTTATTGGAACACAGCACTTGCTTGTAAGGAAATAATTGTTACACTTTGATTTGTCATACTCTGATTAAAAGCACTGTACATGTGATTGCTTCTAGTTATAACTATGTTGCAGTTGAAGGGCAAACTATGCCCCCAATCCAAACATCCATACATCCTTGTAGTCCATACATCCTCATTAACTGCAGGATGAGTCAGAGCAGATTTTGACTGAGTCAGAGATACTTTTTTGGCAAAGTCAGTTTACCAAAATAATAATCCAAATGCTGTTCACTGTTGCAAAATCTGTAGGTTTTCACTTACAGCTTGTATTCCTTTTATAATCATGAACTCCCACCATGATCTTACAGCTGATACCTCTCTGTAGCTAGTCTCTCACAAGTAGGCACGGATGACTGTTCAAATAACATTTATTACTAGCTGGAAACTGTTAAGATGCTGTTACCTTAAAAAAAAAAAAAAAAGAAAAGCTGAAACCTCATAAATAATCCATCCATCTGGTGAGAATAGCAGAGCAAAATAGCAAAAAGCTAACGTTCAGCGTGTTGGTGAAGATGTTCAACTGCAGGAACCATAGTTTTTTCTTTTCCTCACTCTAAAGTATCTCCAATAGTTTCAGAAAGTTGATAAGGGATGAGAGAGCACTGCATACTTGTATCTGCAAGGAATCATGGCAGCAGGGGAAGTTGACATTAATGTGGACAAAAGTCCAAACTTCTATATTAGGTGACAGAAAACATGAGAGCGAAGTGAATTTCAGACCAATACTTGATGGATAAGATAGGAATCAGTAGGAATTTTCTAAGTCTTTAGTGTTAACAGAGGGCTTTCCTATATCTTTTATAATTGTCCACAGTATTCCCATTTAAGATACTACTGTGCAATGATAAACTGTGTGGAACAGAAATATTACAATAAAAAGTCAGGAGACGCCTCTGTTATGCGCAGGGATATTTTGGGTAGTAGGGAGGCAGGGCAGAGACAGATACCCCAGCATAGAAGATAAAGTCAGGACCTTCTGACATGTTAAAGCTTATTGAAAAAACAAACACAAAGTCCTGCACCTGGAAAGGAATTACCTGTTACAATGATATAGACTGAGGACAGACTGTCCGGGGAGCAGCTCTGGGGAGAGGGTACTGGGGATCCTGGGAGCTGGGCAGGAGCCGGCAGTGAGCCCTGGCAGCAGAGATGGCCCGCAGCATTCAGGGCTGCATCAGCAGGAGCACCGTCAAAGGGTTGGGGCAGGGGCTGCCCCTCTGCCCAGCACTCGTTGTTAGACCACATCTGGGTACAGTGGCCAGTTCGGTGCCCACCAGTGCCAGAAAAACACGAATAACCCAGAGTGGGTTCACCCCGCGATGCTCAGGGCGGGAGCACTGCCCAGAGCAGAGGCGGCGGCGGGGCTTGCCCAGCCGGGGGCAAGGACAGCTGCAGGGGCACCAAACAGCCACCCCAGTGCCTACGGGGAGGGGATAGAGAGGGACGGCTGGGCCCTTCCCAGCCGTGCGTGGTGTGGGAACAAGGTACGGCAGGCAGGGGCTGAACCGAGAGGGGTTCAGGCTGGTACTGAAACCACAACTACCGCAACTGCATGAGGACAGTCAGAGGGACCGGCTGCCCAGGGAGGCTGGGTGGGCTCCGTCCTTGGCGGTTTCAAGATCCATCTGGGTGAAGCCCTGAGCAACCTGGTCTGGCCTCACAGCTGGCCCTGCTTGGAGCAAGGGTGCAAGAGAGACCTCCTGAGGTCCCTTCCAGCCTGGATTACCCAGTGATCCTAGGCACGTTGCGTACACTGGTTACACCTGACTAAAGCTTCCTCTTGTTATCCTATTTATAGAAAGATTTTCTTCAGAAACTCACCCATTTTACACAAAGTCCAAAATAAATGAATGGTACTTGTTTGCTAGGGATGCATTCTGACTTCTCCAGGAGTCTTTTAGAAGTTAGACAACATATGCAGTTACACTTTCTCCATAGACTCACATGAATCTGCTCCAATAAGGAGCTGAAGATGCCTATAGATAGAAAATTAGTGTAGGTACCTTTATGTAATCCAGATTATTTTGAAACAAAACACAGGCTTCTTTCTCGTCCCCGAGATTAATTCAATAAGGCACTACGAAATATATTTTCTCTGTATAGTCTTCTATTTAGAAACTAAAGATGTGCATTTCTTACACAGACTGAATAGAGCAAATGGGATAACAGTTCTCTATCTAGGTAGCTGTCTCAAAATGTATGCCGCATATCTGTCCACTACTTGTTTCTGCCAATTTAGGATGATTATTTTAGTTCAATAGTAGCTATCCACAATTCTTTCTAGTATTTCATCTTTCAGACATAAAGGAGAAAAGATAACCTTTTTTTTCCAAGAGCCCTTCATGAATGCCGTGAGAAGGTATCAATGTACCTGTGAAACAAAAAGCTTCTGCAAATAGGAATGGAAGAAAAAGTCTTTCTACTTGCACATTCTCAAATGAATTGCAGATGTCAGGCAGATCAATAAATCTTTTGGATATCAAGAAAAATAAGAATCCCAGCCACTTCCCCCGAGACTCTTTATGTAAAAGGTGGCACAATAATTATGTAGGTGGATTATGAGCTATAGGCTCAGTGCACTGACTATTAACATCTTAAAAGTGACATTTCCTTTTCAGACAAATTTCGTATGAGCTGCAAAGATGCATTTTGCAGTCAACTTGCTTGTACAAAAGCTAAATCAGGCATGCTCTTATAATTGTACTGTATGCATTTTCCAGCTCAGACTCTGGTTCTACCGCCCCTCCCGAGTCAGTTACTGTGGGTAGAGCTGGCCTAATTTTTCCAATGCGTAGCACATTTGCCTAAATATGCAGTCTGTAAAACAGTGCCACTGAAACACTCCAATCAGATCTGGCAAAAAATCATGATCAGGGAATGAAGGCAAGGGAGGGAGCAAAAAAACATCAAAGCGTTTTATTCTGACAGCTTGGAAAAGAACTTTTTGACTTTTCAAGACAGCTTTTTTGTTAGAAGAGGAAATGTTAAGAAAGATTCAGAGTTAGGTAACTGAAAGCTAAACAAAACCAAGAAAGCCCTTTTCAATGAAATGCAACATTTCAAATTAACTAGAACGGATATATAGCTTTTGTTTCATTAATTCATTTTTAAAATGTTGGTACTTTGTAAACCAGATGGGTTTTTTCAGTTCAGGCATTAAAATGAAAAATTGACAATGCAGTCAACATTAAGTTTGAAAGTCTGCAGCCAAAGTATGTTACCTGGTGAAAAAATGTTTTTCCTGCTCCCTTGAAAAATGCTCATGTGGTCAAGACTTATAAGAATATATTGCATCTTTGGGTAAGCCGAGGATGTCGTTGAAGTAAGGATGAATACTGTAATGTTGGTTTTAATAGCTAATCTTTTGACCTCTGTTGGTTGTTGCTTTCGTTATGACAAAGCTTAACTATTCACAACCAAAATCAAGGAATAGCTCTTTGAGAGCTATCATTGAATGAAAATTTCCGTTTTAGAGTGCTAAATGAGGACCTCTACACCCAGGTCAGCCATGGCATCTCAGCCCCTCAACTAAGGCCAGCTCTCAGAGCGGTGGAAAGAGTTAGGAAACTGAAATGGAGCTGAACAGAGAGAGAGTCTTCTGTGAAACAAACCTGATTATGGCAAGGAAAGAGTATGTATATATCTTCACCACAAAATGAAGAGAAACACAAAAAAGAGAGAGAAATTCGTAAAAAAATGCATAACCTTGCCAGTGCAGCGTTTTATGGAACCTCAGCATCCCTGCTACACAGGAGTCAAGTGGGGATAGCCAGGGATACCAGAATCGCAGTGGAGGACCCTCATGACATCCCCATCTGTTCACAGTCTTGTCTCCCAGCTCCAAACCTACCTCTGGCCCCTGATCTCCAGTGGGGAGCCGATGGCTGAGCCCTGTTTCTTGCACTGGGCTGACAAAGCCAGGCGAGCTCAGAGCCGGCTCCGGGCACTTTACTGTGAGCAGTTCTGCTCTGCGTGGATGTGCTATCAGTTAGAGAGGAAAGAAGAGAAGGTTTTGCCCTTCTCTTTGAAGAAATGCCTGTGCATTGTATGTAGCTTGGGAACTCCTCCAGGATCAGACCTCCTCTCGATGTCTTGAAGAAATTTAACTAAAAGACTATGACATGAAAACCTGGAACTTTATAGAAAATGGCAATTGATGGCTGGAGAGCCCTGAGGCAGGGTAAATAATGCACACGGGTAGGCTCTGCTGGGAGGAATCTTGCTACCTATGGTTTCATATCAAAAGCCATTTCGTTTCTAGAAGGAGGAGATAAGAGAAAAAAATAAACCCATATTATAGCTGTTGGTAGTATCACCTAATGCAATGGTGAAAGGCATTGCAGTGATGACAGTGGTATATGAATTCATGTGACATAGAATAGAATCTAAAATAGAGGCAATGCAAACATTTGTTGAGTTTTGTCGGCTGATATTTGTGTGAAAAGAGTACAAATGAAATTTTGTTAATGCCTTTCGTTTCTATAAACTTTAAATGGCCACAAGTGGAATGCTAGCAAAAAAAAAAAAAACACACCACAACCCTGCAAAAATCACTGACTTAAACCTTCCACATTGTGAATATAGTGATCAATTAAATCAATTTGATAAAGTAATTTGATTTCTGTGTGTTAGTTTTTTCTACTTATTTGTGAAAGCCACTAGTTAATAGGAAGCTGACAAAGTTTTTCTTTATACCAGGTGCAGAAACTAATCTGAACTTGAGGAGCAGGGAAGATCCAAATACATCAGATATTGGATCAGAAACCCAGGATAAAAATGCAAATAACCATGGAATTCAGTCATCTAATCCACTGTCCAGTTCTGTGACTGCTGAAAATGGAAATTCAGTATCAAATGGTAAGCAGTTTTTAATCCCAAAGCTCTTATAACATGAAATTGCTGAAGTGTTTCCTTGAATGAGCTTTTTAAGATATAGTAAAGCCAGAGTCTTCTGAGTTGTGAAAAATCTGTTTCTGGAACTGGCTTAAACTTTGTATGTGTGAACTGATAAGCCCCTCTCCAATAAAAGCTGAATGTGAAGAAAATAAAACAGTCTCTGTTGAGGAATTTGTAATTAGCTCAGCTCCAAGTCTATAAGCAGCCCGAGGCATGGAGGACTGAGAGTTCCGATTTCTGATCCTATATTCAATACAAATGGGACACAAAATGGAAAATCAGGATCTCCCTTTGCTACAGGTACCTTTCTCATGAATGACAAATTGTTTATCATTGCAACAAAAGGATCAAAATGGTGCAAGAGCAATGACAGAAAGATGAAATCTTTCAAGGTTCTAAAAGCATAAATCCTAAGGATATAACAGCTGTATTACATAAAATCACGTAATACAAATACAAGTACGAACAGACACAAGACAAATAGAAAGTATTTATTTCAGTGGAATGTGGAGAAGCAGATGCCTAAATACTTGCACAGCACTGGGTGCAATTATCTTCATGCTGAAAACTTAGTCTGAATAGGGTTTGTGTAAGCAGAGCAGTTGTATAGCATTTACTGTTAAGGGTAGAAATACACGTAATGCAGTTGGTAGTTTGAAAGCTATACTGAAAAAATCAAAAGGAAAAAATATTAGGTGAAATATTGCATTTTCCAAATACGCTATCCTTTAAAAACAAACAAACAAACAAACAAACAAACAAAAATAGTCACACTCAAAAATATGCAATGTTTTGAAACGAAAATTCAAGCTTTATTATCAAAATGAAACATTTCAAAATCAAATAATTTCTTTCTTTTCAAGAAAACCTGTTCTCCAAACTGTGCAGTGTTTGGCCACAATAATTCTTCCTACTGTCTCTGGTAATGAAAGCAGAAAACTCAGTCAGTCTGAGAAGCTGTACGAATGTAAAGGTGCATTCATTCCTGTGTGGAACCAGGAACACGCTGTGACAGAAGAAAAAGGCGTCTTTGTCCATTACAACCATTTCTTCATTTGTATTAATATAAAAATTTGGAGAGGAGGGGAGCATATTTTCAGTATGTGTAACAGTCAGACTGTTAAATTAACACAAAACCTGTGGGTAGACCAAGTCTTTGATTCCTTTCTGTGTAGAGTTTTAACTATATATTTGGATGTTCTAATGGGACCCATGGGAGATCAGCTTTTTATAAGAGCAACCATTTTATCCCCAGACTTCTTAACTAGGAGTTTAATCACAAGAGCTGTGTTTCTTTCAGCTTAGAAATTAGATGATGCTTTAAGTTTATAATTTGTGATAATTGCAGTTAAGTTAGTAAACAATCTCAGCTACTGAAATAAACAGTCATTGCTTGAATAAAAGGCCAACTAATATGTGCTTGTAATTGTTTGTGTGAAGTTTTTATCAGTGTATTTGCAACCACTAGTAGCCAGAGCTGTTCATATTGGTAATATACACTATCTACTGTGCATAAACTAATTATTTGCAAACTATTTGTAAATGGAAAGTTTAATCATAAAAGTGTAATGATATTTGAGAATGTGCCGTGAGATGTCTCCATGTAAAATACCTTTTTCATTTCTTCATTACTGTATACCAAACTCCTCTAGCTTTGAGGAATATAAAACCTGAAATGTATTATTAAATTGTTGATGCTGAGATTACAAAACTCTTGAATGTAATCTGCTTCCCTCTGTTACGTGATGCAACTGTGTAAGCTACTTTCCACTGAGAGAAGGAAGATCTAGATTCATACATTACTCACGTGAGTTAACATAGAAGCAATTTCTTAAATAAGAGTGGTCTTCTGCTGTCATGAACGAAGTGTCAGCACCACTCATGTGAAGCATCATAAAACTTAAAGTCACTATGGTCATAAGAATAATCATTTTGACAAAGATGTTAATCTTGCTTATAACCTAATGAATTCTTTAGAAAAACAGCACTAAGCAGCTAAAAAGCTGGCTGGCTCAGCTTCCAAACAGATTAATGCTGTGTTGCTTTTGGAAGCTGAGTTTAATTTCTGGCACTGCTGTTAGTTCAGAATTTTAATAGAAGTTACTTTTTCATTTTATATAATGTAATCTTCTTCTTCTTTAGTTTAAATTAGGAGTAACACCTTTCTACAGCTCTGTGCTATGAAACTGTGACTTTTCTTTCACAAATCTTCCACATCTGCCAGAGTTTTTAGTCTGAAAGAAAGAGCTTTTTTACTATTTCTTGTCCAAATACAATGTGATTGGAAAGCCTTTAATAACCTTTTACTTAATGATGCTTTACAAAGTTGTGATCCTAAATCATCCAAAACAGCAGATCCTCTGGTGGGAGACACTGAAACACTGGAGGTAAAAGTTTACTGAAATGTGTAGTCATTTCCAACTAGTACCTAATAGGATATAAAGGAGTGAAAAGGAAATGTTTAAATATGACAACTACAATAAGTGACTGAGGTCACCTAACCTTTGGTTCGTGAAAGGGGCAAATTCCCCAGATATCTGACACCACTTTATCCCCAGTGAAGTACGTTCTAGAGATACTTACTCTGTGTAAATCAAGTGAAAATTAGAGTAGATATTGTATAGATGAGACAGCCCTTTTGGACTAAAGTTGCGTTGTGTGGCACTGAGCCTAATGGTCACACAGGCAAAGACTTTGCACTGGGCTGTCCATCCAGCTCCATTGGCACGCTGCTGTCCCTCGAAGGAAGCCTCTCTGGTTCTTCCTTTTCAGTTAAGGCTGAGGTCCACTGCTTGTGTATGGGCATCCATGTGACTGGACTCACAATATAGTTCATGCAGATCAGCATAAAAGTAACTATCAAGAACCTGTTTGTTTCACCAAAAGCCTTATGTATTATTCAGGTAAGGGGATTAGTCTTGTCCAACTTGAGCTGTCAAGAAGGTAGCCATTCCCAGTCTCTAAATTGGAGAGACATGAATTTGAAGGATGTACCACTCAGTGGATAAGGTATTGGCTGGATGGTCACACTCAAAAAGTTGCAGTCAACAGCTCAATGTCAAAGTGGAGACCAGTGACAAATAGTGTTCCTCAGAGGTCAGTATTGAGACCGGTGCTGTTTAACATCTTTGTCATCAACATGGACAGTGAGATTGAGTGCACCCTCAGCAAGTTTGCTGATGACACCAAACTGTGTGGTGTGATCCACATGCTGGAGGGAAGGGATGCCATCCAGAGGGACCTTGACAGGCTGGCCACAGGTGCAAGGGGACCTTGCACAGGTGGCCCTGTGTAAACCTCATGAAGTTCAACAAGGCCAAGTGCAAGGTCCTGCACATGAGTCAGGGCAATCCCAAGCACAAATACAGACTGGGCAGAGAATGGATTGAGAGCAGCCTTGAGGAGAAGGACTTGTGGGTGTTGGTGGATGAGAAGCTCAAAATGAGCCGGCAATGTGCACTTGCAGCCCAGAAAGCCAACCGTATCCTGGGCTGCATCCAAAGAAGCTTGGCCAGCAAGTTGAGGGAGGTGATTCTGCCCCTCTACTCTGCTCTCGTGAGACCCCACCTGGAGTACTGCGTTCAGCTCTGGGGCCCTCAGCATAAGAAGGACATGGAGCTGTTGGAGCGAAGAAGCTCAAAATGAGCCGGCAATGTGCACTTGCAGCCCAGAAAGCCAACCGTATCCTGGGCTGCATCCAAAGAAGCTTGGCCAGCAAGTTGAGGGAGGTGATTCTGCCCCTCTACTCTGCTCTCGTGAGACCCCACCTGGAGTACTGCGTTCAGCTCTGGGGCCCTCAGCATAAGAAGGACATGGAGCTGTTGGAGCGAGTCCAGAGGAGAGCCACAAAGATAATCAGAGGGCTGGAGCACCTCGCTATGAAGACAGGCTGAGAGAGTTGGGGTTGTACAGCCTGGAGTAGAGAAGGCTCAGGGACACCTTCTAGCAGCCTTCCAGTACCTAAAGGGGGCCTACAAGAAAGCTGGAGAGGGACTTTTTACAAGGGCATGTAGTGATAGGACAAGAGGTAATGGCTTTAAACTAAAAGAGGGTAGATTTAGGTTAAATCTAAGGCAGAAATTATTCACTCTGAAGGTGATAAGGCACTGGGACAGGTTGCCCAGAGAAGTTGTGGCTGCCCCATCCCTGGAAGCGTTCAAGGCCAGGTTGGATGGGACTTTGGATCAACCTGGTGTAGTGGAAGGTGTCCCTGCCCATAGCAGGGGGGTTGGAACTAGATGATCTTTAAGGTCCCTTCCAACCCAAACCATGCAGATCATCTGTGGGCTGCAATCTGCTATGTAGTCTCTTGACTTACCACCAGATCTAAGCACATCAGGCAAGCCATCGCAGAATGGGAGAGGTGTCACAGCAGATAACCTGACAGAAAAGGAGCATGTCACCATGACACAGGCTACATGCTGTTAAGCACATAGCTTTACATCTTGCCTTTACTGATGATGCCTCTTTCACACTATAGCAGCCAATGTATCAAATGGAGCTGATCAGTAGATCTAGCTTGTGTGTGAATGCAGAATCATGGAGCAAGATAGAAGGTTTGGGGAATGATGTGTGGCCACAGTTGCAAAGACCCAGAGACTCTTGTGGTGTTGCTGCTGTTGTGCAAATATGGCTGTTGGAGGCCATGAGATGCAGAGTTTCCAGTGTGGAGGTAGCAGAGCCTATGAGACTGGAGGTTCTCTGGAACCACAGAACCACTTCTAGATGATCAGTGATCTAGATCTTACTACTTGAAATGCTAGCTATTTATCTGAAGGATCCTAAGAAGAGTATCTGAGAATAGGGTAGAAATGGGAAATAAGAAGTACAGGAAGAAGATCAGGCATTAAGTATGGGATCTTCCTTGGAAGCAATACAGAAGAGACATTACAGGGAACAAGTGGGTAAAGGATTGGGCTTCTAGTTTGAATACACTTACTGCTTGGGACAAAGCCGTATGCTTGATTACGTGAAAAAAAAAAAAGGAATACATTTCTTTCATTTAACTTCTCGAGTTAGAGATTATTGATTGAATCATATGCCTTGCCATCATTTTCATCACCATATATAATTGCAGTAATAATGTTTGCAAGCATGATTTTGCCAAAAAATTGCCAAATTAGACTTACTTTTGTTAACTTGAGACTAAGTGCAAGAAAGTCCAGTCCAGATGGTGTAATTTGTGTTCCAGATTGAACCCTTTATTAACTTATATTCTTGTGTTTCCGCCCCTGCCTGTGCTAAACCGATGCTTCCAACCTTGTGCTGAATTAAGCAAGGTCTTATTCAGTGCACAGCTGTGATATCCTAATATTTACTTAAGTGTACGTAAAGGAAAACTCTCAGAAGGTAATCAACTACTCCATTTATCTTTCCAAACTCCACCAAGCCTCTGCTTGCCATGTCTTTGACAATGTGCTGTTGCTGTACATGGAAACTTTACGTATTTGATAAGACCTCTTATCAAAGTGCTTTTCATAGAAATAAATAGGAAATCATTGATAACCTTATTCTAAGCTCAAGGCTGTCATGGACGGTAGATCCTGAAGTGTATGAATATAGCGCAAAAGCAATATCTTTTTCAAAACATGCTGCTGGCCTAGGAAAGTATTTTCATTCATTTATGGTGGTCTAGAATCATGCAAGTATTTTACTTTATATCTTTTATTTGAATTAAATGAATAACACCTTCTTTAAAAAGACATTTTGCATTAAAATGTGGATAATTTTTTTTACCTTGATTGTGATGTATCCAAAATGTATCCATGTGAATAAATTATTAATTCAGGAAATGATTTGGAAAAAAAAGGATTTGTTTTGTGTTGACAAAACATTGATTTTTTGAGAGAAATTTATTTCAAGCATTTCATTTCACCAAAAATATGTGGGTTTGCTGAGAATTTTAAGTCAGAGGACAGGGAATTTAATATAGGTGAGAAAGGAATAGTAGTAACTTACATATATTTTACAAGCCTAGTATACTGGAGACCTTGAATATCAGACTTATCCCAGTATGTACCAAATATATCATAGATCAGCTTCAAAAAGTGATAGCTCCACCTCAAAACAAATAGTTCAAATCACTGGGAGAACAGGGTCAGACTCCCTATCTGCACCAGGCAGAAAAGGACTGAAATGCAGGGGTTCTGCCTTCTTCACTATCTATGTGTGTCCAGAGGAAGTCCAGATGAATTGAATCCGTAGAAAAAGATCCACATTTACGAATACTTTACACAAGCTTCATTCAGAAGAACAAATAAAAAAACTCGGGTGTCCTATTTACAAGACTGTGGAGATGCACTACTATCAGGGGTAAACTAAATTCAGGGTAAAGAGGACAAAAAGGAATAAGAATAATTCCTTCTCTTTAAAATTCTTGTTCTATATCTCTCTCAAAGCCAGGTTATTTTATGGCATTATTCATGCAATTTATGTTTTCACGAGTTAAATCACATATCAGTAACTATGTAACAGTGAATTCTCATTTATCAAAATAAAAAAAAAAAAAACAAACATTTTTAATACTGAAAATAACAGGTTGGAAGACAAGCATGTTTCACAGCGTGTTTCTATGCCAGGTTTGTGGTTGAACAAGAAACTGAACATGAACATGCAACAGAACTATGTCTAGTGCAGTACATAATCCCATAAGTAGTTTATGATTCACTGCATTGGAACTTTGAATTGTTTCCATTATGATTCTGTGTATGTTATGTATAATACGCAAAGAGTGAGGGTCACCTCATTTTTCCTTAGGTAAGACTTAATGTATCTAGGCCAAGAGTCACCTTACCACACCTTTGGCCACACAGAAGGCAGACGCCTAGGCTAAGCAGATACTTCAGATTAGATGTTATCCATTTCTAGTTAGTAAATCTCAGGTGATCTACTGAGAACAAGTCAACTTGCATATGTCTTACCAGGATGAATCCTCGTCTTGTGCTGGCTATCTCTGTCCAGCTGGCTAAAGGAGGAGTAGCGATGTGCCATTTATGGATGCCATAGCAGCATGAAAATTTGAAATTTATGCTATACGAAGTAATATTGAAATTTCTGGATACCAGACCTACCATGGTGTCTGTGACTCTACTTTCTGAAAGGCTTAATAATCCCTGTCGCAGACTCGCTGTGTTTCTGCTTGTGCCTTGCTTCCCCTCATCCCGCCTTTCAGATCCTCGGTAGTGCTATGTGAATGGTCTTCCCATTCCGACAGAAGTGATGGGGAAGCGCCAACGGTGAGCCTCACTCTCAGATCACTGTGCACAGGTGTTTGTTTCTCTTTACACCGGATGACTGGGTTTTACACAGCTAAATTTTGAGCAGCTAATTCCCACATGGAAAATGCACCATAAGTACAAGAATTACAAAAAAGCTTTTTACTAAGAAGATGAAGTTGTCAGTCCTGGACCTGCTATCAACTTCCCGTGTGACCTAGAGACATGGATGAGGCTTTGAACAACCTGGTGTAGTTGAGGGTATCCCTGCCCATGGCAGGGGGGTTGGAACTAGATGATCTTTGAGGTCCCTTCCAACCCTAACCATTCTGTGATTCTGTGGTTGGATTGGAGAGCAGACCACAGGCCTGTTTTCCGTTCCCTTTGCATTGCTTCTGCAATGAAAAGGAGCCAGAGGAAGTGGAGCCAGGGATTTCCGCATTGCAGGAGGAATCCCTGGCCAGTGTATAGGTAATGTGTTATTTGTAGGCTCTTTCAGTACAATTGCTCCTTCTGTAAACCAGCACGCATACCTATGATGCTATTCATGCCTGGTAAACAATAGCTGTTCCAGTTTCAGTAAGCATGGAAATACTGAATACCCAGGCAAATGTGTGATTTTTTTTCGTTCTTTTTTAGTAAAACATGTTGAAGTCTTTTGAATCTCGTGCTGAAATCAGTCAATGCATAAATCTCAGATTATAAATTAGTATTGTTCTGCTTTAGGTTTACCGGAGGAAAATGAATATTCAAGGCTGTCGGCCAGCACTACGGCAAGCTCATCATTTCAAAGACATAAGGAGAGCCACACTAGTCAGGTAAATGTTTAATTGACAGTGTACTAGAACCAGGAAAAGAGAAAAAAATCATAGTAGCTGCATGTTGAAAGCTGTCTTGATTCAAATTTGTATGTTGGCATTGAAAAATGCAGACTTCTTTTACAGGTTTGTATTGAGCTGTGGGCAATAATGAATTTACTCTTAACTATTTTTGTTGGGAGGATAGTCATCCTGAAAGGTTCACATAATAGAGTTCAAAGTTTGTGAAAATTACTGTTGCTGGTTGTGAGGGTGCTGTTTTCAGGCAGGAAATAGATCTCTTCACCCTGAGAGGACCGAGATGTTATCTCTCTCAAGATGTTCATTCCTACCAGAAAGAGATGCATGATAACGAACCTCATAGGAATAAAAGCATAATTATATCATCTTTTTGTATATAAAAGCAGTGATGTCTTTAAAAACAGTCTTCACTATTTTTATACAAATATCAATAAGATTAAAATCAAAATATCTACCAATTAAAGCAGCAATAGGTACTGAGGTAATGTGAAGCTTGCACTTCAAAATTTCTGTTTAGTTAATGTCACTTTAAAATAATAACACAGAATTAAGTTTGATGTGCGTTAAGCGAACAAAAAGGAATAAAATTTGTCATAATATATTTTCTTCACTCTTTTCTTCTGCATTTTATATATAACGTGAAACGCTTTACTTTCTAACTAGCCAATTCAGGCATGAAGGCATTCAAGACATTTTAGTTTATTTCACTTAAATGGCATTAGTGTATTCTCCTGTTTTCTTTATGTCCTCAATTCACTTTTCTGAAAGGTTAGTCCCAAGTGATTTTTTTATTTGAGATGACTGTAGGAATTTTACAGTAAAGCCAAATATCGTCCAAAGAGAAAATATGTTGGAGCTGAGAGGAATTTCCTCAACAGAAACCTTTCATTAACTAAAGGTGCAGTTTCCAAACTATTTTACCAGGAAGTAAGGAAAGTGCTTTATATGCTGTCTGCAGGGGACACCCGACATTTCATTAGGAAAAAATACTGATCCTAACCAAGTGAGTGAGTGTTGGCTATTGACTCCAACAGGAGTAGGATTCAACCTTTAACATCATATTCAGTCTTAACGTAACTTGAAGAAAACAGCAGGTTCTGAGTAAAGATGTGAGCAAACTAGTAAAAAAGTCTTCACTTTTTGTTTTTCTGCCCCACTGTCCAAAGCACAGGCATAACTACAGCGCCTATTCTGAGTTGAAAAATTGTGCCAAGACAGCACCTTGGCACTACACTAACCTCTTCGGATACATAAATGAGGCCGGCCAGAGCTGCCCTGGCACGCATAGGCACATGCCCATCTCTCACACAATAACAAATCTTTGCCGTCACCATACCACTCAGATTTTCAAAATGTACTTTGACTATATTGTGAGAAAGTACTTACAGGTCTTCTGTCGGTATAGTATGCTGGATGAGGATATGAGATTATGAGGATAACTGGAAGCAATGTTTTCAGTTGTCTCTGTTACATTTTTTAATGATCAACCAAATACTTATTAGGCATAAGAGTGGCCAAGGAGCTCTCTTTAGTGAATGAAAAATCCAAGTCCCAGATACTGCTCCAGTTATAAACCTCACATAGTGAGATGCTTTTGTCCTAGAGCACCTTGCATCTCTAAATGCTAAAATGTTTGTCTAGGATCAAGGAGGATCATGTTTAAATTACTACATCATGTAGTACATGGAGAGTTAAATGAACTGGGTATAGAGGAGCCATTATCTTCTCCCTATTTTTGCGAAGGGAAACTTTATCCTTATGTGAAATTAGTCTGCAACATTTAAATGCTTTATTTTAGAAGCAAGTCTTTAACCATTTACAAACTTGTATTTTTGATTTTTCCAAAACCACTTGCCAAATGCTGAACACAGTTCCCATTCAGTACTTTGAAATGTCACTTTTCAGTAAATAGATGTTTTGCCAAAGTGTTTCACAAATCTTTAAAACAGATTCCATGCTATGTACTCAGAATTACACGCAGGGACAATCCTTAAATGTAAGCTCAATAAGAACTGTGACAAGTTTAGAGAAGAAACCTGCAATTCCATGATTTTTGATACAATTCCTTAAGGAATAAACATCTTCCAAAATAGTATTGCTAAAAGAAAAAGAAAAAAATCTTCCTCCCACAAAAAGAAAAAAAAACTTAAAAAAATCTGTGCTCACAGGGTTGAGAATTCTTACTGTAAAAAGCATTCCTCACCATTTCCAAAGCATAGCATATATTTGAAAACGATTGGTTTTAATTACAGTTGACATTTCTTAACATGCTGCTGGTGACTCTAACCGCGTACAACCCCATTGTAAAAGTCTTTGCCAGGCTTCACTGCAGTAATCTTATCACTTTAAAGTAATTCTTACACAGACATATGAAATAGGACAGATTGTTTCACAGATCTGTGAAGGTACTGATCGACTAATTGCTTTAGAGAGAGAAACATAGACTGAGTCCTTGGATTTCTTGGCAGACACTCTGTCATTTCAGCTAAAGGAAACTGGTTCATTAGCTTTCAGGGACTTCTAATATTTATGGGGTTTTTTAATATCTCCCTGCTAGTTCCTTACTGAAGTGACAGGAGTTAATTTCATTTTTGTCACAGGATCTCAAGGCTCTTATACATCCAACAAAAGTTTAGGCATCATGGCTTACGGTACCATCATGTTGTCACATCAGGTGATAATTACCTGTATCACTAAGTGATACTTCCTGCAGATTGCAAACCTACACACTTCAGAGCACAAATTCTTCAGCTCAATATCTGTCAACATGCATCATAAGGATCAATCTTTTAACAAATACTTTTGGAAGCAATTACCAAGTATAAAATATCATGCAGACGTGAACTCAGCAACTTAACTGATTGTCTCAAAAGTAAAGTCAGCTGAGAACAAAAAAAAAGTTCACTGTTGGCCATAAATGCTGTTTCCCTAGGGCAATGGTTACTTAAATGTCAATTTTTATCAGAATGAAAAAGGACAAAAATTGAAAAAAATTGTTAAAATACTAACAAAATATTTCTCATTTGAAAGTTGTTGAATAAAATTCTACTTCTGCTAGAAAAAGAGTAATAAAAATAAAGTTTGATTTTTGTCTCATCAGAAATGAAAGAAGTTACATCAAAAGAAATGAAAGTCTTGCATGTTAAAAGAACAACAAAGTATGTGGTTTTTAAACAGACCTTTTTCTTCATGTTGTGCTGTGGCTGTTCAGTTGTACATTTCCAAGTGATTATGGGTTGCAAGTGAGTACCACATAAAAACATAAAGAACATCTGCTATAACAGTGTAGCATCATCTTCATCCTCAGTGAAGATGAAAACTGAACCTTGAATTTGGGGGTGAAACCAGTTATCAAGAAGTTTCATGCACTTTAGTTGGTTCAGATAATAGATCTTTAAGAAACTATTTGTTAGCAAAGAGCCACATTCTTTTCACCAACCCAGCACACCAGCTTCTGTTTATTTTGTGCTTTCTTTGTAAACCAAAACATGCTAGTCAAGGAAATCTTCAAAATGTAAACTAGAAATCTGCAGTAAATGCTACTGCAAGAAACCATATCCTAATCTACCCTTCTAAGAAAACCAACTTTGCTCTTAGTGACTAAGCACACATATATCAGCTGCAAGGACTGCAACTAATTCGGCTTCTGCAGAAAACCTTTTGGTAGCTGTGCTGCGTCTCTTGCTCCCTGAGCAGCAGAGAACTAGGAAACTTCCTTTTCCAAACTTGATTTAAAATTACTGATTTAAAATTATTTAAATGCTTTGCTGCATTGGTTTGTTTAAACAGTTTGGGACTTCCAAGTATGCCTGGATCTGTACTCCTCAATTCTTACCCTATAATTTCCTTCCAGAGACAAAGGAACCAGCAAAATGGAAAAGATGTTTCTTCTGGTTGTTTGTGCCATAATCTTGCTTAGATAGAGAACTTTGTTATGACTAAGAGTCATTTCTATTCAATCACACGCCAGGAAGTGATCCTGAAGCTACTGGAGACTCCACAAATGTTGAAATTGGTTAGCAGGGTCTAAAACCCCAAACCTCCTCTAAAATAGAAAAGCTTTATAAAATATTACCTCTGTGCCTTTTCTTTTACAGGAAGCATTTTTCAGTTCCTTAGCCAGTCCAACGGGCTCTCTTCTCCAGTCTGTATTTATTGCTTAATCTGTTCTCAATAGCTCCTGTGAGTGTGTATGTTTAAAAGATAGAGCATAAAGACTGTTGACATGCATAAGTTCTTTGGAATGTCAGCAACAGAAGCAAGATGAAATAGAGTCAATAAAAGCAAGACTGTATCTTTGGCACCTCACACAAAAGCTAAGTGGCCCTGTTGTCTTCTTTTTCACAGATCCAGGACGGGGTTGTTTGGGGGTTTTTTTGTAAAAATATTTTAAAGTTGTTATTAATATTCACTATGAAGTGGGATGTGGTGTGAGAGAGAGACAGTGGAATGAAGAAAAGCAGGCCAGCTAAAAAACTCCTTGTTTCTTATGTGGTCAGCAAGAAGCGACATGGTCTGTCTGTAACGGGATGAGATGGACAACCTGGAGATAATGAACAGATGGGAAGTGAGGGGCAGATTAAAGACTAGAGTGATAATAAGTGTAGGGGTGGGGTGGAAGTGAGGAGTAAAACAGGCACCAGATAAAGGATGATTCAGAGAAGTAGGGTTGGAGGAAGAATAAAATGATTGAGAAAGAAGGTAAATAGTAAAATGGAATAGGGGATTTAGAAAGAGGAAAGAAGGAAGAACCAGAGAGAAGGAAAAAAAAAAACAGAGAAGTGAGAAAAACAACTAGAAGGAAGATAAGAAAAACAGGATGGAAAGAACCAAGGACAGAGCACAGTGTAGTGGAGTAAAAAGAGAGGGGGACTAATAATCCACCTGCTTGCTATGCAAGTTAGTTCGCAACCATAGTCTCCTGAAGATTCGGCCATCCAAGAAGAAAGGTAGAAAATTTCCCATTAAACAGTGCAAAG